CTGCGTTGCCCGGGTTGCAACAGACCGGAGGTGCTCCCCAAAAGACAGCTTCTAGTCAAAAAGGACGCCTACAGTCCCTTTCAAAAAGATTAACAATCAGGTTTTAGTCCCTTTATTGGCTGGCCTATACATTGATCGAACACCGATGTTCGATGGGGTAGGCATTTTGAAATTATCGTAACTAGGTCAAATCTCGGTCTTTCGGAGAGATCGAAATATGTAGGTCGAAGAGAAAACTCTCAGCTGTCGCCTCGAACAATTTGCAAAGCGATACAATAAGCGGTTCTTGAGTTATAGCATTCGTAATGTTGGTCCCGGGAAATTTGCGCTCAGAGGGCGATGCGTGGGTCAACGGCCGGGATTTTCCCTGCTTACGTCACCTGTTGACAAGACTACACCGATTCAACTTCAAAAGCAGGTTCCCGGGAGTCTCTACGAAATTTTTTGAGTTTGATACGAGCAACAGGAGTGAAATGGTGGATAGAGATTGATCTCGAGCGTGAGCCCAGCGCTGGTGGGCCTTCCCTGGCTTGCAGCGATGGGCCAGTGCATCCCGTGGAGTCGAGTGTACGCTCATTGCGCTCCTCTCGCCAAGGCCTTTCCAGGATGCCCAAGATCGTGGAATTTGTCCAATGCAAACTAAAGTTACGTCCAATTTAGTTACAGGTTTGGCGATTGCGTGGGCTTGTTTGTATTTTATTCGGCAAATAAAGGGTTAAAAAGTATGAAGATAAGGGGAAATTGAACAACAAAGTACATAAAAGGGCTTGTTAGGGCGCAACAAATTGTTCTGCGAAGGTTTCGGAACAATTGGACCAGCGGTTAAGGAGTTAGTATTTCGGCCAGGTTTCGGGCTTTTTCCCATGGTTTACAATTTGCCCTGGAAGCCAGTATCGATTTTTTTATCAAAACCCACGATTTATCTTTTCCTTTTTGGCCTTGTGGTTATGAATGTGTAGTATCCCTGCCCGACCAATACGGAAGCAGTACGGAACTAATACGGAGCTTTGCCTGATGTATATTTAGTGTATCTCCGTATGTAAGCGTACGGCGTCTGCTGCATATAAGCGGCTGCGCATTTCTGTTTTGATGAAGATGAGATTTTGATAATAACGAGCTATTCAACCTCCAGGTGTGCACCGGAGAGAAAGTCAGTCATTTTGCCGTTTCTTCTTTCACTAATAATTATATCTCAGGTGTGTACCTGAAAGAAGTAGAATAAAAGTAATTCTTGTTGATTTCACCGCGCCTACCACTCGGCTACCCATTACATTGGTGGCAGCGGTGGGATTCGAACCCACGCCTCCGGAGAGACTGGAGCCTCAATCCAGTGGTGGCAGCGGTGTAGTTTAAAATAAAACGACGTGATTCGACCCCAGACCCCCATGGCTACCCATTACATTGGTGGCAGCGGTGTAGTTTTAAATAAAACAACGTGATTCGACCCCAGACCCCCATGGCTCAACCCGCTGCAGCTCCGTGCGACGAATCAAGATGAGAATCATGTTTCTTGCCTTCCTCGGCCTGGCACTGCTTAGCCTGCAGCACAGTCAGGGTGCTAGCGTGGATCACCCTTCTCTCCGCACGGCATCCACTGGAGACTCCGATGGCGATTCCAAGCGACCCGCTACCTACATCAAGTATACTACCGGTGGTGCTGGCGAAGCTGATGAGGACGAAAACAGGCAGGCTGCTGCCCAAGACAAGGAGGGTATTCCCCAAGACCAGCAGCGTTTGATTTTTGCAAGCACGCAGTCGGAAGCAGGAGCCCACTCTTCACTTGGTACTTCGCCTCCGTGGTGGAATGCAGATTTTCGTCAACACTCTTCCTGGCTAGACCATCACTCTTTACGTCGCGCAAAGTGATGCTATCGACAATGTGAAGACCACGATTCAAGACGAGGAGGGAGGTCATTTGTCTGACGCCGAGCTAGCCGCTCTGGGTGACCGGCTCAACCAAGATGAAGATAAAACCTGGCTTGCTCTCCGCCGTAGCTCCAGCCGCCGCCGTGGTTACTAACGCTGATTCCAGGTATGGCATTTTCTTTCCTGTCTTCCTTCAGTCTCCCTGTTCTCTTCAGTCTTCCTTTATGCGAGTGTGTGAATCCAGTTTAGTTTGGTAGACGTCTGATCATGGTGAGCCACGGTTTACCCAGCTAACGTGGGACAATGTGTGTGACAACGCCCCTTATAGTTATAGTGTATTCAGTTCGGTTTTTGAACTGCGATGTTCCTGGCGGGTTGTGCCAGCGTAGTGCAGCAAGAGTGCTGTGGTTTCAGGTCCTATTTGGAGGACAGTTCTTTCCCTTTTGACCCCGTGAGATCGTGTGAACCTTGTGTGCTTTTACTTCTACTTTATGATTTGTTATCAGTTCATTTCTTCTGTCTACTCTAAACGTTATCATTTCCGATATATTATTTGCCATCTTCCGGTTGACGCTGTGTTCGTAACTCTTCACTAATTTTTTGAAAATCACGAGGGCGTGATTATCTGTAGGAAGGGAGGGTGTAGTATCCCTGCCCGACCAATACGGAAGCAGTACGGAACTAATACGGAGCTTTGCCTGATGTATATTTAGTGTATCTCCGTATGTAAGCGTACGGCGTCTGCTGCATATAAGCGGCTGCGCATTTCTGTTTTGATGAAGATGAGATTTTGATAATAACGAGCTATGCAACCTCCAGGTGTGCACCGGAGAGAAAGTCAGTCATTTTGCCGTTTCTTCTTTCACTAATAATTATATCTCAGGTGTGTACCTGAAAGAAGTAGAATAAAAGTAATTCTTGTTGATTTCACCGCGCCTACCACTCGGCTACCCATTACAAATGCTGTCTGCTGACCATGAAGTTGTGAGTTCAAATCCCAACAAATCTTCAAGTCAAACATTTTTTCTTCATTTTTTCTTTGTAAAGGTGATCACGCTGGTACAAGACAAAGAAGATGACTGCGCCAAACGACTTGTTGCTGGAGCTCGCGTTTCCTGCCGAACTGACTGACACTTGACTGGCTCACGCCATGTGAAGTTGTGAACACACACAACACTGAAACGGTGTTTGTTTGTTTCTTTCTTTTATTTGAATTCGTTTAGAGCACAAGCAATTCTGCCTTCTCACCAGAGGAAAAACCTCCGGTTCCTGCTAAGAACGAATATAATTTTATGAGAGAAGGAAATATGAAAAAGAATCATAACAATCATGATAATTGCAAAGCACAAAGTATGTATATAATTCAAATGGGTGTGTGTATGTGTAAGCATGCAGTGAAGAACACACAGAGAAAACATGCAGTAATGTGTAGGGATGCCGAGCATGGAAGGAGCGCTAATAACACTGGTTACAAATTACAATTAATTCTGTTCAGAGCCAGTTTAAAGGCAAAAGCCACACTGTGGAGGCGAATATCACTGAGAAGGGCATTCCAAAGAGTGCTTCCCACAAATGTCAATGACTTACGACCGGAAGGTCCAGGAAGGAAAGGCACTTGCAGTAGCCGCTGTTCCTGTCCTCGAGTAATTTGGCAATCATCCCGGGATGCTTGGCCTGTATTAGCCGTCAACTGAAAGTAGGTGCATAAAAGAGGACTTACAAGATCATGCAGGCAACGGAAAACGAAAAAACAAAACCTTGTAGTGAAAAATGTGAGTTAGGGATCGAATAGATAAGCTCACGAGGTGGGGGGCTGTGGATGCATGGCTGGAGAGTCGTAAAATTGCACGAATTCCGGATTTGCTGGATCTGATTAAACGACTCTGCAGCTGCTGTGTCAGCGACGGGAAGAATGCATTGGATGCGTACGTTAGTCGTGCTTGCACAATGCCAATGTACCAAAGTCTGCGGGCTCTTATGGGCAGAGATTGCCCATGGCGCCATAGCTGCCTGATCGCGACTGACGCCTTCTGCACAGCACTGGAGACATGTGGCTGCCAGGATAGCTGGTCATCAATGGTTAAGCAATTAGTGATGCAAACAACACAGAAAACAGCTGGTGAAGTGGATAGCGATATATGGTTAATGTTCAGGTGGTTAGTGAGAGAATGCGGGTGTTTGTAGTAGACAGGAAAAGTACAGTACATTAGAAAGAGTGATTGTATTCTTGTAACCACGATGGCTCGCTGATAAGAAGTATAAAACGAAAGCGCTCCTAGGAGATCAACGTGTTTATGGTGGCAAAAGAGCTGGTTATGAGGATGCGCGCAATGCCCTGAAAGTGTAAACGCTCACTTAGTGCATGTGTGTAGTAACTCTACACACATGAGCACTCTGGCAAGGTACGTTCGAGCCTGATTGGAAATTTTTATTTCCATTGCTATCAGGTTCGGCCTCATTTCCTCTGTGCTGCGCTGATGAGTTCAAAAAGAACGAAACAGCATGCTGTCCGCAGATTGAGTATTTCGCTTCTGCTCTTGTAGCAGTTGAGCACTCTTGCGTGGGGTAGTGCCTTTGCTGTTTGCGTTATGGAGAGCTCACTGACTTGTCAGTTTGAGCACTCTGGCAAGGTACGTTCGAGCCTGATTGGAAATTTTTATTTCCATTGCTATCAGGTTCGGCCTCATTTCCTCTGTGCTGCGCTGATGAGTTCAAAAAGAACGAAACAGCATGCTGTCCGCAGATTGAGTGTGTGTAGTAATATTATGTTAACCAAAGCACTGCTGGTTGGTGGAACCTCCCGTTGAAGAATAGAATGGTCATGTTGACTCTCCTACAAAAGAATTGCAAGTGTGGTTGGCTATAAAATCCCTGCAATCGCCACGCAAAGTGGTCATTGGCTACCCCAGCCATGTATTGCTTGGAATAAAATAAATAGTATTTCCCTATATACTCACATATTTTCCTATATAGCATTTCCCTAGATTTCCTTCACGCCAGTGTTCAAACATACAGAAAGAAGCCAGGTAATCATAAACAGAGGAAACCAGTGAAAACTTTTAAAAGTGCAGAATGTTTGCATTTGGATGCAAATGAGCACAGTGTGTGAAGTGAATCTAGTAGTGCATTGGGTTTTAGCCACGCCTTCTTAGCTTCATTTCCACAAACTTCAAACTCTTGTACCCGCCTTGATAGTACACTACGCCAGTTAGGTCTCCATCTCTACGTCCATACAATCCATTGACATTGACATGGTGACAGTTGTTATACCACCAACCACCTTTGTGTGCATTAGAACAGTCACCCCTACTAGAGTCATGGTCACGATCTCGAGTACTGAACTGTTGTCCATTGTGGTAATTCATCATGTCCGTCAAGGAAGGGCTTGAGAATCCTGATATATGAAGTCTGTAATTGTTAGCTTCACCTTCAACAAGGAATGTTGACCACTTGCCGTAATGCTTCTCTCCAGTTGTCTTGAAGACCATATCAATACGCAGTTCATAAGTACTACCAGCTTGTGACGTCAGATAGTGTAGTGTATCTAGACCCAGCCAGAACTCTCCAGACGCTGATCCGAATCCTCGTTTGTATGCATTCCAGTCACGGTAAAAGTCCACTGAGCCATCCTGTCTTCTCTGAAACACAATCCAGCCACCTCCATCAGTCTCTCGATCACAGTATGCAGTGAATGTCGTAGTCGTTGTTGTGCCATGGAATACACCTGGCGGACCAGAGTCGGTTCTCTGACAAGAAAATAACCCTACAGAAGAACGAAACAAAATAGTAAAAACGTTCATAACCCGATGAAGGGAACAAATACGTGTAGTGGAAATGTGCGTTCCATTCAGCAAAGCTACGGGTGACTGTTAAAAGCACGATGTAATAATGGCATATGTATACTGCTAGTCTCTTGCTGAATTCGTGGAAAAAATTGCGTTTGCAATGTCAGTCAAGCCCGATCTGTGTTGAGTGAGCACAAACCAGGTTAGCTTCTTTGAAGCATGGGTCCTCAAGTAATACAAAAAAGCCCCTGCTGCCATCCTAAGCAGCTTTACTATCCCTGTAACAGCGGCTATCAACGTTCATCTCCATCGTCAGCTGCAAGCACAGATTCTACATTCTTCAATACCGGAACGTTGTGCATACGTCTCGAGACGTATTTAGCATATCAAATTTGATGGGGATAAAGTCTCCTCGGGAGGACCTTCAGGATCCCTGGAAGGATTCAGAAGACTGGATCTGTCAAGACGTTGGGCGAACATTGCGAACAACCTCTCCTCTTTGATTGAGAACTCTCTGTACTGCCACATCTGATTCTCGTTCTTGGTGGAGAGGTGTTCTTTTTCACATTAATTCGGTCGTCATGGCATCGACAATTGACATCTAAAATAAAGCTGGAGTTCTCCCAAAACCAGAGCCGGCAATATTTTACTGACCTTGAATTCTCTTCCGCAAACACTAGCATGATACTCAAGGGTAAGACGGAATGAAATATGGGCGACGAAGTTGAAAGTTATGTTAGGTACCTCCGCCCGTGTTACTCACCTACGTCATTCTCACCTTTCGTTCCGTTGGCCTGGGTAGCTACTTGCGCACCCGTGTTTGCCATAGCTACCCAGGCCCTATATATTGCGTCGCCTCTCTTCGAATCTCTCTCTCAACTCTCTTCGAATCTCTCTCTCTTTCAAAATGTAGTCGTTTAGTTCCTCTTTCTCTCCGTCTATGATAAATGTCTTCCCACTACTAGTACCTGTCCCCAGTTGTTCCTTTGTGTCTGGGATGGTGAGTCCTTCTGTGACTCAACATTGGCGCCCGGCTTTTGCCGAAGCCCACGACCCTGGGATTCTCGTGCTCTACCGACTGGCCGAATAATTCGTCTCGTCCATATCAACCTCGTATCTCCTACGCCAACTTCGTCTCGTCCATATCAACTTCGTCTCTCCTACGCCAACCTCGTCTCGTCCATGTCAACCTCGTCTCTCCTACGCCAACCTCGTATCGTCTCTGTCAACCTCGTCTCGCCTATGTCCACCTCGTCTCGTCATGCAGGTCAGCTACCTTTCTCTCTTTCTTTTTTTTTGTATGCGTTTCTTCTCCCGAGTTAAAACTCCGTATGAAGACATCCAAGAAGAAGATTGCCTGATGAGTCCAGCGGGGACGAAACGTACGTCGCAATCGAGCTATGTCGTTGCTGCGTCATCATCTATGTGCCATGCGCTACTTGATGTACCAGCCTGCTATGCCGGATACCGCCAGCCATGCATCGACCAGGCGCCAGGCGCGAACTGATGGTGGTGGTGGTGAGAAGGAGAGCTCTGTGCCAGAACTTTGCAGCCTAGAGAGCGTGTGTGGGCAGGCGTGTGTTTACCGCCATATTGCCAGGTGTGTCTTTACCACCATATTTATCAACCAGCGTTCCTCCTTCGTCAAATTTATTTTCGGTTTATTTGTTTCGTGAATTTTTTTGTAGTGTGTGTGCGCGCGTGTGTTCATAAAACATTACCAAGTTAGGGGTCCGATCATGGTGAGCCACGCTCTAATTATTGGATGTTGAGGGCCGAGAACAAAGCCTTGGGGCACTCCGAAGGTGCAAGTCAGAGCAGGGCTGGCTGAAGGCGAGATGAGGATCTGCTGCTTGCGGCCGGAAAAGTAGTCAACGAACCAACTAAGGGCTTTTCCAGAAATTCCAACCGCGAGGAGGTCTTGGATCAACTTGTCGTGGTGAACTTTATCAAAAGCCTTAGACATGTCTAAAAGGCACAGCCCTGTGGTCTTGCCACTGTACATATGACATCGATTGCGGACACCAATGCTGCAGTCACAAAATTTCACCTGGGCACCCGAGTCCAGGAACACGCGAACCTTTGCCGTTAGGGTCTTTCCCTCAACTCTCGCTACTCTGGTCATCAGCCGCACACTGCTGTATCCAACCTTCCTGTCCGTTACAATCTCAGTCGGTTTCTTCCGGTTGTCATCTGCTCCATCCCACGCATCATGTATGAGCAGATTGTGGTTCCTCTTGCACTTTATGCACTTCGAGCTTGACTGACAATGCCTTGCCACATGGCCGTACTTGAGGCAGTTCCAGGACGGTCTCTCTTGTCGCAGAAACGCCTTTCTCCTTTCCTTTAGCATAGACTCCAGCCGCTTCTCGGCGTCTGTGGCCGATATCGCCAAGCACCGCACCGACGCAGTGGGCCTCGGATCTGATCGTTTCACTGGCTTCCTGGCAGTATCACCCTGTCGTACGTGTGCGACCTGGTAAGACGCGCTGTGCTCCTGAACCAGACGCAGAGACATCCCATAGCACTGCCGTTCGATCAGGTACGTCTTCATCTCAGGTCCACATTGCTCCAAGATCACCTGCTTTGCCATTGCTTGCAGCACAGGGGCCACCTTACCTATAACAGCGCTATACTTGGTGTCCACCTCGCTATCTTCAGTCATAGCGAGCGTGGCCCATACCTCTACATCTCGGCAAACACGCACAACGTATTGGGAAAAAGACTCCTATGAACGCTGCTTGCCTGTCAGCAAAGTCTTCCACGCTTTGTCTGGCGTCTTTCCGAGCGAGGCAAGCAACTCTCACTTTGCTTCCTCATAATATAAGTATTGCAGCCAATACAGGTCTTTTCCGCCGTGCTACCTGAGAGAGCGATACGCAATCGCAGCAGCACTTCGTTTTCTTCGAATTCGTTCTTGGAACATACATGTAGGTTTGTCCTCAAACAGGTGACAACAGAAGCAGTAGGGGTAGGTTGCACTTTTTGAAGCTCCCGTAAATCTTTCTTGGTAGAGCCCAGCCGGCATCAGGCCGGACTGGAGGTAGTTTCCGTAGGGTAGCAGTAAGTTTTTCTAGTAGTGCTCGTAGAAATTGGTGACCTCCGCCATGCCTGGGGCCACCACGAGAACAAACACTCGCGCGACTGCCCTGAGTGATGAAGAGCTGAGGCTGATGGCGTCGTTGCCGGGCATTGAGTTATCTGTAGTAGAAATCCTGAAAACGTTGGCCGCACTTGTCTCGGAATCGGCTGATCGGGGGACGCGCCTAAACAAACGGGTTGACGAGCTGTCAAGGCAGCTCAAAGACGTGAACGGTAGTGTCTCTCCGAGAATCCGCCATTGCCTTGCGAAAAGCTACCCCAAGGCCAGTTCAAACACAGCAGGGTACGGGTCAACCTTCGCGTAGGCGTACCAAAGCAGGCAGTGCGGGTACAGGTACTCGAAAGCATGACACCACGATGTCCCGTAGCGTCCCCAGCAACATTTCCCGTAGCGGTGACGAGTGTGAAGAGGATGGCAGCGTCCCCTGCAACATCTCCCGTAGCAGTGTGAAGGGGATGGCGACCAAGATGCAACCTGTGTAGACGAAGACAGATTCCAACCAGTCCAGAACTCAAAGCGGAGCAAGAAGCAGTGCGTGCTCCAGGTGATCGCAGATGACAGCTGGAAGATGGTGTCGTCAGAGCCTCCCAGGGCGAAGAAAGCTGTGCTGTACGTTGGCAACCTAGGCGACCAATGCACCGAGGAACGCCTCAGGGAGTTTGTGCAACACAGAGTAGCTGCGGTTGGGACATCTGCGGATGTGCACGATTGCAGTATGCACGAATCGGCAACGGGCAAAATCTCAGCGAGACTGACAGTTGACGCTGCAACAGTTTCTACAATTACCGCTGCAAACTTCTGGCCCCGGCCACTTTATGCCAGGCAAAGGCGTTTCAAAGAAAGCAGTGGAGCACGCCATGATAATTCTAGCCCACCTGCCAAAACTGATGACATCACCAAGTCTGACCCTCCTCCTCAGAACAATGATAGTCTCCCACCTGCCGACCCTCTCCTGAGCAATGACCAGTAAGACGTTGAAATTGCTGGTTACGAATGCCTTTTGGTATCCGTTCAAAGTTTGGCGAATTTCAGCATACCCTTCTGGCATCTGATGCAGATATTGCTGTAGTCACAGAAACCAAGCTGACCCTGGATAAGATGACGCAAGCCGAAGTGACTCTTCCTGGGTACTCCCCTCCAGTAAGACGAGACCGAACACCACAGGGCGGAGGCGTGGCTGTGTGGGTGAAATCCCACCTAGCTTTCCAAGAACTGGAAGCTGTTCCAACCCTTGATCAAGAAGTTGTATGGCTTTCTATCCGCATAAGACCTGGCCGCAAAGTTGTCTTGTGTGCTGCCTACCACCCAGGGTCTCTTCCTGGCAACGATATCAGTATGGTAGATTACTTGGACCAGACCATTGACGTTGCCCGGGTGGATGCACAACACCTCATCATCGCTGGCGATTTCAATGCGCACAACACTGCCTGGCTGGGCAGCAGTAGAACAACTCCAGCTGGGGAGAAACTGGAGGACCTCTGCGCACTACATCACCTCCAGCAGCATGTGACGGAGCCTACTCGTGGAAATGCCCTCCTCGACCTCATCATGAGTGACCTGGGCAACCCGACGGTCCGGCTCGGGCCCCCCAATCGATAGATCTGACCACGCCACCATCTTGGCAGAATTCAAGACAGAACTATGTCGAGAGCCCAAGACGGCCAGAACAGTCTGGCAATATGGCCGCGCTGACTGGGACAGACTAAACCACCACCTTAGGAGTGTGGACTGGGATGCCCTCATGTCTGAGGATGCAAACAGCAGCTGCACCAATATTGCCTCTGCCATCCTAGATGGAATGAACCAGTTTATCCCATCCCAACTTCTCTGTACTCGGCCCTCTGATCCCGCTTGGTGGACGCCAGCTTGCAGCAAGGCCGTGAAGGCGAAACAGAGTGCCTGGAAGTCCCTCAAGAGACGACCAGACTCGCCCCAATGTCAAGCTAACTATACTCTCGCTGTCCACCGGTCTTCTGATTGCCTACGTGATGCCCAGAATCACCATCTAGCAATAGTCCGTGCACGACTCCAGACCGGCAGCCTTCGAGACAAACAGTGGTGGTCAACCATCAAGCAGTCCATCGGAACCTCCCGAAATGGCTCCATCCCGATTCTTGTCGACCCTGCTGGCAAAGAATATGCCACGAACATTGAGAAAGCAAACTGCCTCGGTCACTACTTCGCGGAGAAATGTAGCCTTGGTGCCAATGACCTGCCAGACATACCTCTGCCCCCTATTCGCCAACGCACAGGCAATAGGCTGAAGACCGTACACTTCCGCCCTGCCACAGTCCAGCGAGCTCTCAAGAACCTGGACGCTTCTAAAGCAACTGGCCCTGACGGCGTTCCGGCGCAAGTGCTCAGGAAGTCAGCGCAGTCACTCGCCAGCCCTCTGGCAAAGCTATTCACCCAGTGCTTCCGGGACGGGGTGCAACCTGCATCCTGGAAGATCTCGAACGTTGTCCCTATTTTCAAGAAAGGCTCCAAGTCTACCCCGAAGAACTACCGTCCGATTTCCCTCCTCTCTATACTCTCTAAGGTGATGGAGGCCATCATCAATCGCAGCATCACTAACTTCCTGGAAAGCAATCAGGTTCTCTCCGGACGGCAATTCGGGTTCCGGCGCGGCCAGGGCACGACTGATCTTCTCCTCTCACTTCAGCATGAGTGGAGTCGGACGTCCAATGCTGGGGGTGTGACCCGAGTCCTTGCTGTCGACGTGGCCGGCGCATTTGACAAAGTGTCGCACCGCGGTGTAGTTCACAAGGCCAGATGTCTTGGGCTAACTGGCCACCTGCTCTCATGGTTGAAAACCTACCTAGAGAGCCGCCAGATCCGGGCCGTAGTTGGTGGACAAACATCAGCCACACACGCCATCCGAGCAGGTGTGCCTCAAGAAAGCATCCTGGGGCCCACTCTCTTCTTGATCTACATTAATGACGCTGAGGACCACCTTCCCCAATCGACCAGCCTTGCCACGTACGCAGACGACACAACGCTCTACAAGTGTGTTCGGTATCTCGGCAACCTCGCAGCTGACTGTGATGATCTCCAGACCGCCGTCAATGCCCTTGCTGCCTGGGGTGCGACCTGGCGAGTGACATTCGGGCCCGCCAAGTCATACCTACTCCACGTCAGCCACCACCGTCGGCCCTGGGACTGCCCTCCGGTCACATTCCAAGGTGAAATGGTTCCTGAAACCCAATGCCTGAAGCTACTTGGGATAGCCTTCGACAGTCAACTGACATTCTGCCAGCAGATTCGACAGTCAGCCCTGCGCGCCACACAGCGACTGGGCTTCCTGAAGAAGGCCTCAGCAGTGCTTGACCCTGGCTGCCGACTCACGGTCTACAACGGCTTTGTTCGCCCAGTCTTAGAGCATGGCATGCTAGTCTGGATGGGTGCTTCTCAGACGGTGCTGGCCCAACTCGATGCTGTACAGCGGAGAGCCCTGCATCTGATCGGCGAAGGCGCATATCTGCCAAGCCTCGAACTCCGGCGCAAAGTGGCTGCTCTCTGCTATCTCTACAAAATCCACTACCTGACAGGCCCACAGATGCTAACCCGAATGCTTCCCCCTCCCAAGCAGTACCAGACCACGACCAACATCCTGCCAACACCAGGCAGCAGGCGCGGGTGGCGGCCGGCCACCGCTACCAGCTGCAGTCTGATATCCCAGCCAATACTCGCAACAACGTCCGCCGGTCGTTCCCTGAAGCAGTGCTGGACACCTGGAACCAGTTGCCTCGCCAACACCTCCTGGATCAGCCCGACCAGAAGAGGTTGCAGTCCTTCAAGTGCAGCGTCCACCGATTCCTGCGCTCGAGCCACTGGGACTGGGCGACCGACCGGCTGTAGGGACTCTGCGTGGTGGTTTTCTGGACGTTACTGTGAGAGAGTGAGTCTGTGCACAAATATTATGTATTATTACGAGTCTGCGTGAGTGTGCACGTGTGTGTGTGTGTGTGTGTGTGTGCGTGTGTGTGTATGTGTATGTATGTGTGTGTGTGTGTGTGTGTGTGTGTGGTGTGCGTGTGTGTGCGTGTGTGCGTGCATGCGAGCATGTGTGTGTGTGTGCCTTTCCTCTGCGCAGGTCGACCGCACTATTGTTTTTTAAGATTAACATAATTATTACTTCTGCATATGCATTACATACTATGATCATGCTGGCTCCATCCCTCATCTCCTTAGCTACCACCCCCCGACCCCCCCCCCCCCCCCCCCCGGTGCGTCTGCCCAGTGTTGACTCCTAGACCCACGGTCGGACGAGCTGCCCAGGCCTCACCACCACTGCCGTTTCCGTGCTGCCTTCTCGATACATACGTATGTACACTGTATATCATGTGCACATTCACATGTCTGAAGGTTTGTGGTTTTTCAATAAAATAAAAAAAGCTCGAGGTAACGCTACAGTGGCTGATTTCCATCGTATGTCGGGACTTTCATTAAAGGTCTTATCTTATCTACGCCCACCGTTGTGACAGGGAGCTTCCGCTGTACGTCCCATCGACCTCACACTGGCGGCGTCACCAATACCCTCATACTAGTACGCCCTGACGATA